CCCCCGCCGCGGGCCGGTCCGTGGGCCGGTCTCGGTGTCCCGGCCGGGGCGGGGCACGGCAGCGGAGGCGGCGGGTGGCCGCTTCCCCATTCGGGCGTGAGAGCCATGGAGGCGCTAAGAGAGTCCGTGCTGCACTTGGCCTTGCAGATGTCGACCTACAAGCGGGCTACACTGGACGAGGAGGACCTGGTGGACTCGCTCTCCGAGGGTGACGTGTACCCAAACCACCTGCAGGTAGGAACCCAGGCCCTCTGTGAGCCCTCAGCCCAGGCCCACCAGGGCTGGTGGGCAGTCGCGCTGTTGCCGCCCCCGCCCTGCCCCAATCCTGCCAGCCGGGAGGGAGGGGGCCAGTGCCAGACCGGCAGCTCTGGGCTCCTTGTCGGAAAAAGTCTTTCTGGATTAGAAGTGCCCCTGAGGCGTTGGACTCCCCCCACCGGCCTCCGCTCCCCAGCTCTGCACCTCCTCAAACCCTCCCGACCCCCTGCTACTGGGGCTACAGGCCAGGTGGCAGAGTTGAAGCATCCTGTAGAGGTGAGCTGGTCCAGTTCTCTTTTCACAGAAGAGGCCGTCCCTGAGTACTGAGAGACCTGCCCAGGGTCACACAGCCCTTTACTGGCAGAGTCTAAAACTGTCCCGGTTGTAGCATGGAAAGCCCTGGAATCCCATCAGTCCTCGGCCAGCTGGGGTGGTTGGTCACCCTGTCTGGTGGGCATTACCCTGTTCTTCCTCTTTCCCCCCAGTCCCTGAGTTTGCTGGGGGTTGGAGCCCATCCTCTGCTCCCCCTTTCCCTGCCCCTTTCAGCCTACTCAGGAAGCCCAATTCCTCCCCCACCCGGGGTCTGCCCCTGTGGGATTCCAATATGCCCACCGCCTCCCTGCCTGGCAGCAGACCAGTGAGTGTGGCTTCCTTTGCTCTTCTTCCCGTGGGGCTGAGTTGGGACAGTCCTGACCAGGACCTCGGCCCTGGTTGGGTTTGGACTCAGGCAGGTGGATGGGAGTGAGTTGGAAACATGAAGGCTGCCCAAGGGGGCCCTGTGACCTGACTTCCGAAAAACCGGCTTAAAGAGAGGCTGGAGCAGCTCAGTCCAGGAGGACTTCTGCCGGGTTGACCAAGAGGGGCATTGAGGAGAGTCTTGGGGCTGCCCAGTGAACTGACAACAAATCACAACGCCTCCGAAGGGCAAACTTAGGGTGTGTGGAAACAGGCTGCCAGGCCCAACCCTACTCAGGCTCTTAGAAGCTGGGATAATAATATTAGTAAAGGGAAACAGTGTTGACTGAGTCCCTCCTCCAGGCTGGTTAAATAGGCCCAGGGAGATCCAAACTCATGATCCCAAGTGGTCTGCCCACTGGAATAGAGCACCTTTACCTACATCATCCCACTTAATTTCAGGACCACCCCCATGAGCTATAGGGATTACTGTTCCCACTTACAGATGAGGAAACTGAGGCTCCAAAAGGGGAGACAATTTGCCTTAGGTCACAGAGCTAGAAATCTGGGAGTGAGAAATCAAACCCAGTCTGTCTAGACCCTCTTCCCCATAGACCCTTCTTAAGAGGCTAAATCCAGCAGGAAATTAGATTTCTGTGGCAGGCACTTTTCCCTTCCCAAATCAAAACAGAATCTAATCAGCAATCTTTTTCAGTCTCATCTTTCACAGAAGGTTCTAAATATATCAGCACAGAAGGATTTCGGAATTCACAACAAAATAATATGCTGTGTTGTCATCATCATAACAGCAGCCCACGTGGGTATAGCCTTTTTTCAGGCCACAAAGTACATTCATCCGCCTGAGGCTGCCTGGCAGAGTGGAGGCAGCCCAGTCTCTGAAGCCGGGGGGCCCAGCTTTGAATTTGACACCACTTGTGATCTTGGGTGAGCAGCTTAATCTCTTTAAGTCGCAATTCCCTCATCTTTAAAATGGAGTTAGAGAACATGGATGTAATGCATATTTCTGGGCCTGCTAGGATTCTTGTTTTTTTTTCTGGTCATGAGGTACAGGCCCCTGTGGCTATGTTACACATGACAAAGCTGACTCTCAGAGAGGTTGGGGACATTCCTGTGATCACACAGCTATCATGTGGTTGGAGTGCAAACTGCCACTGGTTGGCAGTACACCAAACTGCCAAACTGGGTAAATCGCCCATTTTTACTACAGGAAAAGCCAGAAAGCTTGCCCCAAGGATTTGGAGGCATTTCTGTGGGTACCCAGCCTGGCTTTCCTTGAGACTCCCCGACTTCCCTAAAGCAAATGTGAACTAGCTAACAATTGTTCTTCTAAGAGTCAAGAACCTATTTATCTCATCTTACAAAGCAGAGTTTTCTATTAATTTTATGTTTTTAATTATAGGGATTTTTTTCCAATATAAAAACTTTGCATGCTCATTTGTGGGGAAAAAAAAAAGAGTCAAGTATAAAAAAAGATTTACAAAGAAACAGTAACCCCACCACTCAGAGATAACTGCTTCTAGTTTTTCACATTTGCTTATATATATTTTAGAATATAGTTGAGCTCACTCTAAGTACCCAATATCTTGTCCTGCTTTTTTCATTTAATGCCACTTCATAAGCATTTTTCTATGTTGTTAAAAACTTCGAAAACATCAACTGTACCTCAATTTTAAAAACACTTCCAGGGAATTCCCTGGTGGTCCAGTGGTTAGGACTTGGCTCTTTCACTGCCGAATGCCCAAGTTTGGTCCCTGGCTGGGGAACTAACATCCCGCAAGCCATGTGGTAGGACCAAAAAAATAGAATACAATAAAAAAATCCTTCCAAAACATGCTACCAATAAAAATCATAATACTTTACGGTACCAATGTATAAAAGTATATTTACACAATCTGCTACAGTTGGACAGTAGGCCCAATATCTGTAACACTGTGGGTGACCATTTTCTAGACTTTCGAATAATTTCTTGTGAGTGATTGCTAGAAACGCAGCTGCTCCCTCAATTTTAGGCTTTTTAAAATGGACCCAGTCCCCACAAATCTCCCTCTCTTGATGGGCAGCTATAAAAATCAGCTACTTGATTTTTTAAGGTTTGGAAGCCCATTGGTTCTCGGAACTTCAAAGTCGTCGATACCAACGCTAGTAAATGAAAACTTGCATCTTTCAGCCAAACCTGCCACCTTTTTGCCTGAACATGCTGACAAAGTGCTGTATTTAGCTGGAGCAAATTTCTACCTGTACCTCACCTGAAAGAGAGGATTTTTCTTTCCCTTGATCTCATATTTGAGGTACAAGTTAATTACAGTCAACTAAAATGAGTCACTGTGGACTGATACAGAATTGAGAGCCCCATCTCTAACACGGAGCCCCAGCTTCGCCTGTCATGGGCTCTGAGACCTGAAAACTACTCACTTAAACTGCTTTTTTTGGCAAGATGGGGTTAATATTAATCCACCTCTCAGAGCTGTTGCAAAGATTGAAATGAGACAATATAAGTGAAAGCACCATGTATAATGCAACAGAAAATGCATTTGGTTGTTATCGGGATCATTATCAAAACTCACCAGGCATGATATCTCAGTGATGCCCTAAATATAATAGCTTTGCCTCTGTTCTGCTCAAACTGGCTGCCTGGTCTCCCAACACCCCAGTGGCTCAAAGAGAAATAGCTAAAGATACACTTGCAGCCTAAACTGGGGAGCAGAGGGCCACAGCTGTTTACCAAAACCATTGAAACTCATCCAGTTAATCCTAAAAATCAATTTTTTCAAGAAAAAGGAAAGCTGAGATATTTAATTCTTAGTGGTGGTTTTCTCATTTTTCTACCCCCGCTCCCCGCCATGCACAGAGCTGTCTTTAGCAGGTGATTTCAGAGACAGTCCCACTGAGTGCTTTACAGAGACCTCTTTGCTTACCAGGAGACCCTTTCAGCTCTACCTGCCTGTTAGATCTTTATGCTTCTGGCCTTCGAGTTGTTCTGGGATCTGAGCTGGTCAGTCCTGGCACCTCATCCAACTTCCTCATTTTAAAAATAGGTGACTGAGGTCCAGAGGCTGCCCAGGGACGCACGAGGGATCTTGAGAAAGTCAAGGCTGACCTTTGACTTCTCGGATTGGTGCCCTTTCTCCAGTGCCATCGTGTCATCAACAGCTGGGTGTTTCTCTGGGAAGCAAAGAGAGCTGGAAAGTGCGTCTTCTAAATACTAGACTTTGATCCTGTTTAGATATAAGGAGTCCCCTCCCTCCCAACAGGTACTACTATAAGCTGTTCTCAGTCATTGGAAGAGAGTCAGACACAGGGGCAGAGGGGCAGGTAGGGCTCAGGAAGGAAATGGGGAGGACAGGAGGGCATTACAGTTTCACTCTGGCCTGGCCCCAGTGGCCTCAGCCAGAAGCTCACCATATAGAAACTGTGCTAGAAGAAACTTCCCCAACCTAACAGCCTGACGGAGGCAGGATATCACGCAGGGCCAGGCTGTCCTGGTCTGTCTGCTCTGAAAGGCTGACTTCAAGGCAGGCAGCCAGACCTCCCTGCCAGCCCTCACGGAGTGGTCTGGCCTTCGGGCTGCAGCGGGTGCACTCCCTGCCAATACTTTGGCCAGACTGACTCCTGTTCGCTGCTCCACTCAGCCAGGTCACTGGGGGGCCAGGCGGTGACTCAGGAAAAGACTCTGCCTTCCCTCTGGAGCCCCTGCTTCCTCTGAAAGCCAGGCTCCCGGCCCCTTCTGCTGGCTTGTCTCCTGGGCCCCGGGCATGGCGTCCCATCCTCGCCTGCAGAACTCGTTCTTGCAGAACCTGGCCGAACCAGGCCCTCACTTCTGTAACCGAATATCTATCCCTCATCAGGGCTTTGTTCCCTTGGCTCTGGAAACCCTGGGAACTCCTGGGCTGGACAGCTAGACGGTTCCTCCCTCTTTCTCATTCTCCAGCTCTGTTTCCTTCTCGGTCTCCCTCTCCACCTGTCTTGCCAGCGCATCCTTTCCTCTCTGTTTCATTCTCTCTCTGCCTCACACAACAGTCGCTAGGATGTTAAGCCTGCCAGTGAGCTGAGCGTTCACGGTCATCCTTACCCCATCTTCCAGACGTCAGCTCTGCGCCCTAGCTGATGCCCCTTCCCTGTTACCTCTCCAGAGACCAAGAGGGCTGCCCGTCACTAATCTCCCGACCCTCCACGTCCCTGCAGACCCTTCTCTCATGATCAGCACGCCCTCATTTCCAAAAGGCCGGCTCTGAAGGAGGCAAGGCGGGGACAAGAGGGGCTCAGGGAGGAGACAGCACAGAGCCAGACAGCAGCTCAGACCCACAGCCCCAGCCCCGTCCATTGCACCCAGGAGTTGGACAGGCTCTCCTGGAGAGGCCTCTTGATCCCGGCGCAGTCTCCCGGTGACTTCTCCTGCCGCGGGAGGATGCCTCTGGATTTCTGCCCTCAGACATGAGGCTTGTGCAGAAACCAAGAGGCCCATCAACCTGGTAGCTCAAGTCGAGCAAAGAATTAGTACAGAAGCTAAAAACCCTACTTTGAAATTCCGTTTGCCATTTCTGCCTAGAAATATGAATTTTTAATTTAATTCTGACTTAATTCTATTTAAGTTTTGCAGTGAACACCATCTGTTTGTTTGACGTTAAACAATGAGGCTCAGCTCGGCTTGCGGCTCCTGGGGGGGCAGCGTGGCCACTCGGCTGAGGCTGTGGGTTCGGGAGGGACGTGGGTTTTCTCACGCTGTCTCCTCGCCCCACTTCCTGTGTTTCTTCTGGAGCTAGTACTCATACGTACTCTTAGGGATGTTGTGAAGATAGAATAGCATCATCTAGCAACAAAATAGAATGAACGTGCTGCCAGAAGCACAGAAAGCCCTCAAACAATACCTGCCATGATTACTCTTTTTTTCCTTCCCTCACTTTGTCTTTCATCCTCTCCCTTTTATTTCTTCTTTCTCTCCCTTTCACCTCCTCAGCTTCCCTGCACCTCAGAATTGCTCTGTCCACATAAGAGAGGGTGTTCTGCTTCCCCAGCCCTGACGGCTGTGATCCTTGGCCTCCGAGTGGACGGGGTACCTGTTACACCAAGATCGCTCCATCTCTTAGCTTTTCACCCCTCTCCCCCGACGAGCTGAGCCTTGGTAATGGGGGAACTGAGAGGCCCAGAGTGGGAGGCAGAAGGTGAGACCAGCTCAGGGGCCCAGGAAAAGTAAATGTCAGCATCCCCAGACAAGGCAAATCCTTTGGAGACCCTCTGAAATACCGGTGCCCACAGTAAACTGCGTGAGAGAATTGATGCCTCTGAAAAAGCACTTTATAGATGTCGATTGCTATGAGCATGTCAGCATCATCCCAGGCTGTGTCTGCACCAGTAGCGTGGTCAGAATCTTCATGTCTCACATTTTTAAAAAGGTTCTTAAGGGATTTCAGGAGGCGACCCGCCCTGACCCCCCGACCCCCGCCTGACACGGCTACTTCTGTGTCCGAGCCTCCCGGACCTCCACAGCATTGTCACCAAGCCTCAAGTTCCTTTTCTCGGTTGTAGAACCCATCTGTTTTTTTTTTTTCCCACAAAAAGTTCTTGTCTTCCTCTTTCTCTAGAGCAGTAACCCCCAGTCATTTTCTTTCTTTTTTTTTTTTTTTCGGTATGTGGGCCTCTCACTGCTGTGGCCTCTCCCGTTGTGGAGCACAGGCTCCGGATGCGCAGGCTCAGCGGCCACGGCTCACAGGCCCAGCCGCTCCGCAGCATGTGGGATCCTCCTGGACCCGGGCATGAACCCGTGTCTCCTGCATCGGCAGGCGGACTCTTAACCACTGAGCCACCAGGGAAGCCCTCCCAGTCATTTTCTGTTCACAAAATAGCCAGTGACAACCGTGAGACTGTTCAATGCCCTTCCCTAAGGTGACCAGCCTCAGATTCCCCAGGCACCAGTGTGAGGCTCCCTGAAGGCTGTGACCTGCTCCGAGGGGCCGCCGTCCCCTCAGCTGTTGGGGGGCACTTGCAGGTCAGAGGCTGGGTCTCCTCATCTCCCCTGACATCACCCCCTTCACCTCCTGGCAGGTTGTGGGTCTCCCTGCCTGCATGCCTGCCCCCCTCCAAGCCTTGCTCCTTCCACCTTGGCTTTTCCAAAGGGTAAATCTAATCGTATCACTCCAGCCCTCAGGAGGAAGTCCCCAGTCTTTCACCTGGCTTACAGCACCCCTTAGGATCCAGGCCCCCCTTTTCCCTTCCCCTCCCCATTCACCTGGCCAGCTTCTAGTTATTCTTTAAGACCCAGCCCAGGCATCCCCACCTCTAGGAAGCCTTCCCAGACTGAACCTCTGCCCACCCCAGTCTGTTTCTTTATCTGCCTCTCTGCTGGGCAGTGAGCAGCTGAAAGCAAGGGAGTCTGTCTTTCCCCTCGGTCTTTCCAATGTGGCCCTGAGTTGGTGCTCGACTGTTGGCCACAATGTCACTAAACTGAACCCCACCTTCAGGGGACCCTTCCTGTCCTGCGGCCCTGGCTTTTGCAGGAAGCGCCTCGTAGAACAGAGGGGAGCCCCCAGCTGGCTTTGGGTCTGAGGGCCGGGCCGAGGACTCTGAGTGCTATAGACTGGTGGGTTCCTCCTCAGCCTGGAAGGCCCTGTCACGCCCTCCACTTCCTCCCATTGTGCCTCCTTTCCTGTTTAGCTGGACTGTTAGGCTGAGGACATTTTTTCCTCCCTTTGAGGACCTGCTCCAACTATTTCTGGAGCTATTTCTCCATTGCATCTCCCCTGACATCTCCCAAGACTCTAATCTCTGACCCACAGGCGGGCTCTAGAATTAATACTCTTGGGCTCAAATCCGAGCTCTACCCATTTAGCTGTGTGATGAGAGGCAAGGGTCTCACCTCTCCGGACTTCGGTTTCCTCATTTGTAAAAAGAAACTAAGAACACAGCCCTCATGGGTTTATGACGGTTTCGACAACTAAGGCTGTCTGTGCCCCTGGGAAGTATGCACTGTGGTTGTGTCATCATGGGGGTTGTGTCCCCCCCCGGCCTGTTGAAGCTGGGGCTCTGTAGAGAGCCCAGCTGGATGTCTGCTGGATGCCTGCGAGTCCAAACATCCTGGGTTTTTTTGAACTCCTTACTGGAGAAACAGGGAAAAGCTGATCTTTTTTTTTTTCTTCTACCCGTATCAGGTGACACAAAAAACACAAGCCCAGCTGGGTTGACTGCTTGACTCGGATGTTTAGCAGCGAATCTGAGCTGCCGAGCAGGGTGGTGGTTCCTTTCCTGGATTAGGACTGATTCCACGGGAACCGGACCACCCCTGAGGCATGAGGGGACATCAGGCAGCCCTGATGTCTCCCCAGGGCTGGGTCCTGCCGTGGAGCCCCCTCCTCCTGGGTAGTGGGGGCCCTGGGCTCACGTTCTCCTTGCCCCGCCTGTCTCCTTCCCTACAGGTGAACTTCCGAAGCCCCCGGAGTGGCCAGAGGTGCTGGGCCGCACGGACCCAGCTGGAGAAGCGGCTGGTGATGCTGGTGGCACTTCTGGCGGCAGGAATGGTGGCCTGCTTGGCAGCGCTAGGCATCCAGTACCGGACAAGTAGGTGCACCCGTGTTGCATGATGGGCTTCACTCACTCCTGCCCCAGGCTCTGTCCACTTGTATAAGGGGGCTTCCCTGCTCAAGCCAGGACTGGCCTCCGAGGCCAAGGAGAGAGCTGGGTCTGGAGGCTGGGGTTGCTGCAACAGACCAAGACCTGGGAGCTGGGCAGATGGGTGATGTTAAGGTTTTGGGGTCAGAAGGACATGAGTTCAAATCCTGGCCTGGCAACTTATTGTCCATGTGACCTTGGACAAGTCACTCAATCTCTCAGAGCTTCTGTCTTCTCTACTTTAAATGGAGAAAATAGTGCTCAGTTTGGGGATGTCTCTGAGGATTCGAGATGATGTCTATCACATACCTGGTGCCCAACAGGCCTTCTCTAGCCTTAGCTCCAGGTACTATTATTGTTAGGATGTTTGCTGGTTCCACACACGGGCTGGCCCTGTCCTCCATCCTTAGTTCCAACAAAATGGCAATAATGGCTTCCGTTTGCTGAATACTTTCCATGTACCAAATACCAGGCCTCTCCTTTACGGATGTAATCTCATTGCCTCCTCACAGCAGCCCTGTGAGGTGTGGTTGCTTCTGGCCCTGTTTTCCGCACAAGGAAACTGAGGCAGTGGCGCTAAGTAATTTGCCCAAGGTCATGTGGCTAGTGCGAGAGGGAGTGGGGCAGCTGGAGTTCAACCATGGGCTGGCGGGCCCCAGAGCTCAGGCTTTGTAATTCATGGTGCACTCCAGTGTGGGTTAGTACTCCCAGAAAAGCTGTCCTTCTGTGAGCCAGGGACCTTTGTGTACCTGTCATCTCATTTCTCTGTCCTACGGACAGAGAATCAGACCCCACTTCGATCCCACTGTCAGTGGCCTGAGGCTGGTTCTCTGTGTCTGGCTGAGTATATGTAGCAAGTGCCTTACACAGAATCAATGATCCATAAGCTCTTATGGACCTGGAAAGGGCAGATCCAAGTTAAAAATAAGGATGGGAGTCCAGTCAATTCCAGGATCTCTCCCCTGGGCCCCAAGATCCAGCTTTCTGATGACAGTAGCCCACCTGGTTGAGTAACCTCTGGGGCTTTGCCAAGAGTTTAACCCCATCAACGTGGTCACCTGGTACTCATCCCATCAGAGCAATCGTGAACCTTCACAGGATCAGGGAACATCAGCTGCAGGTTTTGTTGAGCCTTCTCCACTGTGAATTTGCTGGCCTGCGTGGGTGGCCATGCTGCACTGGAATGAGGAAGGGATTTGGGGGCCTGGAGGGAGGGCAGGACTTCATCTGAGTCATCCTTACATCGCTCCTGGATCAAGCACTCATTCATTCATTCATTATTCCTTCCACAAACATTTAATGAGAACTTAATCTATGTCAGGTGCCTAAGTGGTACCTAAGAAATAATCGCTTAATTGTTTAACTGACTAATGATTTGTAGATTTTTACCAAATGCGCCTAGCACAGCAGGTGATTAATGCATATCTGATTAATTAATTTATGATTTCTTAACCATATGTGCTTAGCATAGTGCCTGCATGCCATAGATGTGCAAATACTTTGCAAAATGAATAAGTAAATGATTGAATGAACAAAGAGCAAGAAGGAGGATTAAGTGGGAACAGCCTTTCTCTACTGATCACCCTAGTCCTGCAGCTGCCATCTTCCTTTTTTTTTTTTTTTTTTTTTTTTTTGGCCACACCACAAGGCATGTGGGATCTTAGTTCCCCGACCAGGGATCGAACACGCTCCCACTGCATTGGAAACGCGGAGCCTTAGCCTTAACCACTGGACCACCAGGGAAGTCCTGCTGCAGCCGCCATCTTGCTTCATCCTAAATCAGGTTTAGTTCAGAACACCCTGCCGGGAAGTATAGGCCCTAGCCAGCCTCGTCTGCCCGGCTCTTGGCCCTGTGAATGGGGAGCAGGCTAGACTCCAGCAGGCAGTATTGCCCTGAGATTAGGCTGTTTCCAGGGCCTGGCTTCTAGTGATTGGGCCCCAAACACTGTCATTGCCAGGTGGGGCCCGCAGGGAGGAATCCTGCTTCTGTCTGTCCCTTCCACCTCGGGGCTGCAGAAGGGTTTTCCTCAGGCTGGACCTGGGTGAGGGGAATTCTTCCCCCAGGGTGGAGCTGGGCCAGGGATCCGGTGACCCTTGAGCCAATTCATGTGTCTTTATCAGCTGCCTGGGCCTGGGAAAGCAGAGGCCTCCCCAGATATTGACAATAACCTCATTACCCAGCAGCAGGTGCTGGCTGGCATCAGCCACATCTGTGCAAACATCAGTCAATGCAAATTCTGATGATTCTGAAAGACTCACCTTTAAGTTATGTCTGGGCACTTAAATACATATTTATCCACCTTCCTGCTGCAACATCCTTTCCAGAAACTTACAGATGCTTTGCAAGCAGTGACAGCAAAGCAAACGATAAATTCTCTGGAAAATATTCTGAAGTGTCTTACTTAGTGTCAAGGCCAGGCACCATCTAGACAAGTGTCTGTGAGCTAGATCTGGGACCTGCTCGATGGATCATGCACGTCCTAAAGGGAAGAAATATTTTCTGCATCCACAGGTGGTGACCAAGGCCTGGACAAAGCTCTTTTATTCACTCAGCCATTCATTCATTCAACAAACGTACTGGGGGGCTTCCCTGGTGGCGCAGTGGTTGGGAGTCCGCCTGTGGATGCAGGGGACACAGGTTCGTGCCCCGGTCCGGGAAGGTCGCACATGCCGCGGCGCGGCTGGGCCCGTGATCCATGGCCGCTGAGCCTGCGCATCCGGAGCCTGTGCTCCGCAGCGGGAGAGGCCACAACAGTGAGAGGCCCGTGTACTGCAAAAAAAACAAACAAACATGTATTGGATAGCTGCTAGGTGCCAAGTTCAATGCTGGGCAAAGGAGCTATAAATGCAAGTAAGATTCTGGCTCTACCCTCAGGCTCACATTCTAGTGGGGGATGTAGACAAGGAGACAGCCATGACATAGCATGGTCTGTGCCCAGATAGCGGACACCCAGGCAGCCAAGGGGCACAGAGAAGGATGAGGGTCTGGGAAGTTTTCCCCGAGGAGAGGGAGCCTGAGCTGAGTTTTGAAGGTGTTGACAGGAGATTAGGGGGGCCTGGAAACCATGAATTAATTAATCAAATGTACATTAAGCACCTGCTAGGCCAAGGATAGTTGGTAAAGCATCTACAAACCAGTAATAGTTAAATAATCAAGTGATTATTGCTTAAGTACCAGCTGGGTACCTTGCAGTGTGCCTAGCAGATTAGGTCCTTAGTGAAGAATTCAAGCCTCTCAGACTGATTCCTGGGGGCTGGGTTCTTATTTTGTTTTAAAACCAAGTCCCCCTATGATAACTACAAATACCTCTCTCTCTGACTCACACACACAAACACACACACACACACACAAACACACACACACACACACACACACACACACACACACACACACACACACACACACACATTCTGATGTGTCTTGCTCCCTGAGAATCACCCTCTTAACAGCTGGCTTCTGGGTTTTCCCACCAGCCAAGTATTTGTCAAGCTTTACTTCCTGCAGTTTGTTGTATAAAAACAATAGGTATTCTTTTCCTTTTCCAGATATGAAGTTATATCATAATAGTGAATAGGCTTTTTCAAACTACACAGAAATTCTTTCCCTCCATCCCCTGCCCCCATAAAGATTCTGGTACATTCCCTTAGTCGGGAAGTGGGGCATGCAACTCAAAGATCTCATTTAGAGATATTTTAAATGGTGCCATGTCCCCTGCCATTTCCTTTCTCTATTTTCATGCCTAAGGGCTCAATAATCTTTAATTGTTGTACCGTCATCTCAAAACAAGTTAACTACCTCGACATAGAGTCGCCCTGATTTTTTGTGCTGTTGTGCGACTGTTCTGAGCCCTTTGTCAGCCTTCAGGACTTTGGGTTTGTCATCAGATGTTAATAAGCACACAGGCTGCCCAGCCCCAGCTGGCATTGTGTCTCCGAGTGAGAGGAAGACCGCCCTGCCAGCCCATGCATTCTCTTCTGCTGTCTGAGGATTGGCCTGGGAACCCTGGGCCCTAAGACTCCAGGGAGCTGAGCCCCCGCCCAGCCATGAAATCATCATCACCGTGAAACTGGTTGTGCCATCCTGCCTCATCTCCAGATGGAGAAACCGACCCTCAGAGAGACCAGGCCCCTTGCGCGAGGCCAGAAGCAGAAAGCTGGGATTTGAACCCAGGTCTGAGAAACAGCCCCTGACTCCTGCCTTGCTGCCTTCCTCCCTGTGCAGTGGGGAACTGAACGCACCAGAAGGGCTTCAGCAGCCCCTGGCACGACTGGCCAAGGGGTGGTGAGGGAAAGTGGGAAAACCCCGGCCTTGGCGTTGCCGAAGCAGCCTGGACTGGGGTCAGCCTGGGCGCTCCCACACCACAGAGCGACCTTGTTCCGTTCACTTGCTCAGAGCCTCGGCGTCCTCATCCTCCAACGGGGGTGTCGCCCCCGTATCAGGAACCGGTCCCTCTTGTTGCCGGTCAGCTTGGGTCAACAGGCGGTGCGGCTGGGCCCGTGTGCTTAGTCATAAGCCTCCATCTCTTGCAGTCAGCTTCATCTCGTCACCTGGGGCTGGGCCGTGGCTAAGGCTGCCCACCGTTTGCTTCCTTTGCTTGAGCCCACAGACCAACCTCGCCTCGGGAGTCCGGCCCCCTCCTCTTGCCTCTGCCCCATGTCCTGTGAGAACTGGCTCAAAGGAAGCTGGTTCCTCTGTGCACTGTGTTTTGGGGGCACTTGGAGGATTTGGCAGCCCTCCATACTGCCCACCTGCGCCAGCTCCCATCCCTCCTCATGGCAGCACCTGACAAATGGGGCTGCCCTGCCTCCTGGGCCAGTCATCACCGGGAGGGCTCCCTTCCAGGCCCATAACAGAGAGAGGCTGGGGTTCAAACCCAGTGGCCACTGAACAGGGTACTTAGTCTCTCTGTGCCCCAGTTTCCTTTTATGTAAAGATGGCCTTAAAGTGATCTCTTAGGGTTGTTTCATTTTTGTTTTTTTGAAGATTCAATGAGATAACTCTGCTGCCTTGTACTCAGTGGGAATGATTTTTCATAGCTCCTTCTATTCCTAAGACTCTTTCTTTCTTCCTGAGTCCCGGCACCGTATTGTCTGCATCACCCATTTGGCATGGACTAAATATCCTTGGTCTATGTTGGTAGAATAAATGACAGACATTTCTCCTACTGTTGTCTTTTTACTTTTCTTGTATAATGTGTATATCCCCAACTAAATTATTAACTCTTGGAGGAAAGGGCTATGCCTTTTATATCCCCACCACCACACATACACACACACACACACACCGTGCACACACCGCACATAACACACACACACCACACACACATACACCACACACACCATGCACACACCACACACACACCACACACACACCACACACATACCACACACACACATACCACACACACACACACCACACATACCACACACACCACACACACATCACACATCACACACACACACCACACATACCACACACACACACACCACATACACACCACACATACCACACACACACCACACACACATACACCACACACACCATACACATACCACACACACACCACACACACACACACACACACAGACACACATTCTGCAAAGAACCTGGAAGATACTCAGTAATTATTTTGTTGAATAAATGAATGCATGAATGAGCAAATAAATTTGTTGAACATCAGGGAATAATAAAAAAAATCAGTGAATATTTGTGGAAGGAAGGACTGATTAAAAGAAGCACCTTGGTTCAGGATAATTTTCAAAGCCATAGAAAGGATTTTAGGCAGCTAGACAGAAGTCTAATTTTACACATCAGGAGATCGTAAATCTCCTGAAATCTTTTCTCCATAGTGGTCTAGTGACTGTCCAGTTCCAAATCTGTTTGGTCAGGGCTGGGGTGAGACATGGCACCCCAGAGCCCCAGGTCACCTGCACTGTATTGCCATAGCCTCTTCCCTGCCTTCCCTTCACTGGCCTCTTTTCCTTGACCCCTGCCAGGAAGCCGCTCGGTGTGCCTAAGTGACGCCTGCATCTCGGTGACCAGCTCCATCTTGAGCTCCATGGACCCTGCGGTGGACCCCTGCCAGGACTTCTTCACCTATGCCTGTGGCGGCTGGATCAAAGCCAACCCCGTGCCCGACGGCCACTCGCGCTGGGGGACCTTCAGCAACCTCTGGGAACACAACCAAGCCATCATCAAGCACCTCCTCGGTAAGCCCCCGGCAGCGGGGCCAGAGGACGGGCTGCAGAGGACAGCTGTCCGCTGGACCTACCTGGCCAGGCCTGGTTGGAGGAAGAGCTTGGCAGGATGGGGAGACGAAGGGCTGTGGAGTAGGTGAGACTGGGTTAAATGTGCCCCACCATTCGGTGCATGATCCTGAGCAAGTCACTTACTCTGAGCCTTACTTTCTTCATCTATGAGAACAGGATTAATAATACCCAAACTGCAGAGGTTCGAGAACGAGTGAGCACCTGTGTGAAGCATTGACGTGGTATGTGTGGCATGTAGTAGGTGCACAAGAACTGGTAGCTGTGGTCATTGCTCTTCTGGCTTTAAGCTGTTCCTTAGGTTTTGACTAGTACTGACCCTGAGTTTTGCAAGTTATGAGCAAAAGGAATGAACGCTGAGCACACTAGATCAGATTTTAAGGTTGTGAGCTGATCAAAGTTCTAACAACGGTTTTATCTGAGAGTTATTCATTGTAGGCAGAAGTCTTCCTTGGCCTCGTGGTAATCGAGCTTGCGTGATAAGCCATCTATAACCGAAGTTCTTCTCTTTATACCTTGTTAGGCCTTCAGCACGTCTAGCTGACCTTGTTGTTGGTTGTTTCATCCTCAGGTTAGAATCCCATGTTGGTCTTGTTTGAAGTTGTATCTTTAGTTAATGTCTGTTGAATTAACATCTGCCTGTTGGGTGCTTCTCCATGTGGAATCAAAACACCCTGTGCTGTAACTTATAGAGGTCCCGACTTAAGCCCTTCAGGGCCGAGACCTTCACCATACCTGTCTCCTGCTGACCCCTGCCCCATCCTGGGACCCTAAATGCTGGGAGAGGCTAGGTCATGAAAAGCCAGTCAATTAATCCATCAATGACAGAACTTAGATTTGACAAATACTTATTCAGTTTAAAAAAAAAAAGCATCTTGATACTCAAAAGTAGGTCAACTGGAGAAGATACCTAAAAGGGGGCAGATCTTCCCAAAGGGACAGAAACCTTCCCATGAGATAGGAAAAGAGTCTAATTTGATGATTATGAATTTCAGGCAACTGTGTCTTTAAGACGAAAGTGGAAATAAGCAAACTAGGTTAAGGAGACCTTTGCTTGTTTTCCCCACCTCAGCCCCAGGGGGCGTGGCTGCTGCAAGGTGAAACCCACCCACCACTTCTTGGCCCCCAGCAGCTGCTGGGCAGGGCCCCCTGGCAGCCCCCTGCTTGTCTCCCTGAGGGACAGAGCCGGGTGGTGTGTGAAGGCGGGGCTGAGGGAACCCCATGTGTCAGGAGCAGCAAAGCCCCCTGTGTGCTTTGTGCTACCCGAGTGCCTTTGCAAGGGGACCCAGCCTTTTATTTCAGAACTAAATGCAAATATGTCTGTGGTAGCCAGACTGGAACTCAGGGATGTCCCTTCCCCAGCACCTAAAGACACAGCCAGGGACTGCGCAGGGAACATCAACAAAAGCAGGAGAACAGTCCAGATAGGCTAACGAGATGGGCTAGTGCCTCTGCTTCAGTCACCAGGACCTGGGTTCAAGTCCTGGTTCTGCCACTTACTGTGTGATCTTGGGTCAGTTACATAACCTCTCTGGGCTCTTGCCTCATCAGTACAAGGGGAACGATGCCTCCTCCAGGTTTGTAAAATTAAATGGGAAGATATCTTTAAAGTGCTTTACCTGGGCCAGGTGTATTGTGGTGGCTGCTGTCTGTGTTGGTTTTACCATTATTATTTACCCTTGACCTTTGCCCAGTACTTTTCAGTTTACAGAGCTCTTTTGTAGATATCACCCTATGTGACCCTGTAGGGTAGGAGCTAGGAAACTGTTGCTCACCCCGCTTGATAGATGAGGAAACTGAAGTCCAGAGAGCTCCTCAAGACAGGCTAGCAGGTGGCAGAGCTGGGACTGCCTGACTCCTGGTCACGTGTCCTTTCCCTGTCCCACACCACCTCCACCAGGCGCCAGGGGCAGTATGGCTCCCTGCCCATCTTGTTGGGGAGAGCCTGCAGGAAGCACAGAGCTCTGAGAGTCTGAAGGAAAGAAGGAAAGAGGCTGGCATTTGCTGAGTGTCTGCTATGTGCCGTGCTCTGTACCAGGCTCATCATATCCACTGCCTCCTTAATCCTCACAGCTACCCTGGGGCTTAGGAACTGTGGTTCCCATTTTATGGATGAGGAACCTTAGAAAAGTTAAGCTTTTTTGCCAAGGATACGCTGCCAGTCCAGGATGAAGAGGTACTCCAGCCAGGGGAAGCAGTTAGCACCCAGAGGGGATGGGGGAGAAAGGCGGACGGGCCCTCTAACTCCCCAGTCAGGTCCAGAACTGCCCCTTGTGTAGGGCCCCCATGGGTCCTGACCCTGCTGCTTCTAGGAGGATCTTGGGTCTTATCAGGAAGACCTTGGGTCTAGGCCAGGACCGAGCGCATCCCCCTCCTCTACCCCGCTGGCAGCAGTCCTGGGCTCTGGCCTTTACATCCCCCCTGTCCCTGAGGGTCAAGGTAGGGGTGGGGGAGTGCACTGAGCCAGGCACGGAGCAGCCAGAACCCTGACCCCGGGGCCGGGGCCCGGTGGTATCAGGAGCCCTAGCATGCTAGCTTATCACGTGTGGCCTTGGACGAGTGACCCGGCTTCTCTACAACTTAGTTTCACTATCTGTGAAATGGGAATAACGGTGTCACCTAACACTCAAGGTTACTCTGGGTATTGTCTCACTGTGATGGGTCAGAGTGCTTAGCACAGAGTCTGGCACCTAGTAGGTGCTCGGCAGAGTAGGACTGCCCTTCTCGGTGGTGGTGGATGAGCTCCAGCCCAGACATCTCCCTACAAGCTGTGTGACTACAGAGAGGCTGGTCAGCCTGCCTCAGCCCTTCACCTATGAAGTGGGAACTAACTCCGATCATTGGCAGGTGTGTTCTAGGGATTAATTGGGTGGTTGAAGAAAGAGTAATTATTGCTTATTTTATTTCTTATAGAAGCACTGATAGAGCCTCTTATTAGGAAAGGAGGGATAGGGTGTATCCATGACCATGCTGGGTTGTTTACTTGTATTATTTTATTCACGCCATGGAGTATATGCCCATTTTACAGATGAGACTCACAAATACAAAGGAAACATATTTCCTAGGAAATGGTGGAGCTGGAATTCAGTTCCAGACCTGTGAGGCCTCAGACCTATATTCTTTCTTTACTGATTCTGCTGTGCACACAGAGGTCATAGGGCAGCCCACAGGTATGGTTTGCCAACCTCCTTTCCCCCCAGGCTGCTTGTTATTGTTCTCCAGGCCAGGCGAGACCTGGCCAAGGCCTGATGAACACAGTAGTTGGGGTCACCTCATGTCGTAGTGACTGAGAGCTTCCCCACAACATATCCTGGCATCCCCTCTCCCCGGGCTCACTCCCGGAAACCAGTCTGGATATGGCACCTCATTTATGAGCCTTGATACCTGGGACTTTGATACCTGGAAACTCCCAAAGAGGCAGGAAGTAGGTGAGTGGGTGACCAAAATATGCAGGAGTGTGGGCCAGTGCATTCTTGGGCTTAAGGCCAGGCTGGTTTCAGCTCCCCCAAGACAAAGGGGTCAGCAGCCAGCAGGCCTCAGGAGGGAGCTGGAGCTGGTGGGGATTGGAGCACACAAGGGTGCCCTGCTGTCCAGGCTGGCTTGGGGAGCGGCTTCTCTAGGAGAAGAAGCACAATTCAGAGGCATAAGGATTGTGTCAGCTGGCCAGGCAGGGCAGCTATTACCATCAACTTGCCGTGTGACCTTGGGCAAGCCACTTCTTTCTGTGAACAGTGAGTTTACTCCGGCACCCTCAGAGGAAATCCAGGCAGATCTGTAGCAGGTGGGTTGAACTGGGCCAGGTGCCATCATGGCATGTTCTGGCTGCCTGCTGGCTGGACGGGGGTGACCTCAGCTGCATGAGACACAGATGCCTCTCCCAAAAGACACTCTGCCATCCACCCAAGCTGCCAGCTTGGGCTGTCCTCGTAGGCTCTGGGGAGACAAGAGTGTCCTCACTTCATCAGGGGAAAGATACAGCTGGACCCGTCAACCCTTAGGCTGGGCCTTGCCTTAGGGCTTTTAGTACAGACTATTCTGCCATCTGGAATACCTCCCAGTCCTTCAAGACTTTTGTCAAACCTGCTTCTCCCGTTATGCCTTCTGTGGATACCCAAGGGCCTCTCCGGGCTTGAGCTACAGTTATATTTCGTGTACTTGTCATATTTACTACATTTTATATTCTAAGATTAATCACGCAAAAAAAAAAGATGGATGCCTGCTTGTTGTAACAATTCAAGTAACACAGATTCCATAAAGAAAACGTTAGTGGTTTCCCTTTTCTTCTACTCCTGACACCAGTCTCCCTGAGAAATACAAAGAATCATTCCAGTAGCATTAAATTTGTCCATGTGTCAGTGACTTGGCAGTTCATCATGTCACGCTGCGACATCTCTTCTATTTTCATTTTGATCTTTTTCCAGTATTTACTGGCTAATGTAGTTTCATCTTCCTGTACACATTGGAAATTCTACAGACAAGCTCTGCATCTGAAATGCTTTCTATCCAGTATCACGCCTGCAGCAGCAGGCCTTCCTTTTTCTTTCATGCTTGGGGAGTGGTGAGATGGACTGATTGATAAATTGATCCAAGGATGGGCGTGGGTATCCAGGGCTTCTTAGGGGTGGCTGGACTGCTTCAGATCTCCCTGTGGTTTTCCAAGCCAACCTGCAGAAGAGGAAAGGGAAGCAGAGAGAGCTTAGGCCTCTGCTCTGGCCTCAGCCACTCACTTGTGTGACCTTGGACCGGTTACCCAGCTTCTTGCCTATAAATTGGCACCCACTGGTGGAAACGGCTGTGACAAGATACACACATGCAGCCATACCCACACACAGAGGAACTAGCTGGTTTTCTCCGGGAGGCTTAAAAATGCGTGGGTTCAAATTCCGGCGTGCCGCCCATTAGCTCCGCCTCCATAGGCGAGTTCCTTCGTCTCCCTGGACCTC